GGCTTCAAAACAAACAAACAAACAAACAAACAAACAAACAAACAAAAAACCTCTTTATTCTTGGAGATTATACTTCCCAGGACTCAATCCTGTGACTGCCTTCTATCCACAAACACAAATACACACATAGAAAATACTAAGCTTCTCTATCCAAGTGTATTCTGGGAGTTATAGCCTCTAAATAGAAACTGCCCAATTTTCTGACTGAAACAGACCTTGCATCCTGAACCAAGGGCTGACAGTAGAGAAAAGATGCAGGGTCTGCTATTTACCTTCAGGGCAGGCTCAGCACTGCCACCATGGAATGCCAATTTGTATTCCCCAGCGCAGTTCTATCAGCCTTGTAGTTTGAGGAAATCTTGGCAATAAGCCAGCTGAAAGTCCTAGTTTCTGGTGATGTGAGTTGGCAATGTTTTATGTTTTTCTAAGTATTGAGTAGGCAGTTGAGACTCAGATGCCTTTTAAAACAAGAAGTTACAACGGAGGGAGGTAGGCTGTGACTCAAAAGAATCATAGAATCTCAGAGTTTCAAGGGATATTAGAAGTCTTTCAGTTCAACTTTCTCAACTCTAAAGTAACTCAATAAGCAGTCATCAGGCCCTTGCTTAAATCCCTCCAGTAATCTAGAACTTACTACTTGGCAAAACAATTCACTTCATTTTTAGAGAGTTCTAATTTTTAGAATGTTATGTTTTAACACTGAGGCAACATTTAACTCTTCATACTTTCTTTTTTTTCCTTTTTGTCTTTTTTCGTGACCGGCAACGGATCGCAACCCTCAGTGTCGCGCCTGTACCGGACCGGGACCGGCTACGGGATCACAACCCTTGGTGTTGCACCCGCACCTCGCTCAGCCAGTGAGCGGCCGGTCTGTATGTGGGATCCGAACCCTCGGCGGGAGCGCTGCCACACTCCCAAGCGGCGCACTGTAGCAGTGCGCCACTGGGCCGGCCCTAACTCTTCATACTTTCTATCCCTGAGTCCTGGAGTTCCTTCCTCTGGAGCCACACAGAATAATCCTGACATTTCTTTCAAGAGGTAGATTCTTTCAAGAGATAGTCCTTCAAATACAATAGTATCATATTCACCTCCAAAGTTGTCGTTTTCAGTTGTTCCTAAGGACATACTAGCAGAACATTAAATAAATCTATATAAGCACACTATGCTAGCTATGCAATATTCTCAAATGCAAGACTACCAACTACAACAATGGTAAATTTGCTTTTGGTCAGTATCCCTATTTGCAGAATAGAAAACAGTATATCCCCAACCTACCACATATATTCTTTTCCACAGCTCCAGTAACCCCTGATTAATGACCTCCACTTGCAAAGGAGGCTACTTACCTTAACCATGAAATAATGAATGCTATTGATCCAACAAGCTACTGCTATAGAGTGTTATTGATCACCTAATCTTTGGTTAAAATGGTCCTCATTTAGCAATTTCACTGTCACAAACACCTGGAGCAAAGCACACTCATAATTAAAGAGTTTGGGGGAGTTAAAGTGAGAGGTGATGGACAGAGATCTCAGCTTTCTCCCATTTATTCTTGCTTCTGAGCTATTGTTTGTGTCAGAAGTGATATTGATTTTCTATAAAAATAAGAAAACAAGAGGCACCAAGGGGCCGCAGAAGGTCAGCTTGGGCTGAAGAAGGAGGGGGGAGGTTTAGCACTCTATCTCTGTCACTTGCCTTCCAAGAGAAGGGAATATTTTCTTTCCTGTGAGATCGGCCTCTAATACATCATCTTAGGAAGGCTCCTGAATGTGACTTCGGGCCATCACCCAACCACTTCACTTATGAAAGAAAAAGAAGCTGAACTATATTCAAGGGGAACAAACAAATAATGTGTTAGTGAAGAACAGAGCAAAACTAGGCTATGGTCACCGAATTAA